CACACACACACACACACACACACACACACACACACACACACACACACACACACACACACACACACACACAGTCTCTCACAAGCACATACATTGACAACACCACAGTGTAAACCTACAGTACTGTTGAAGGTCTTCACTTTGAGGATGATCCTCTTCACTAAGTTAAACAAAAGGGCTTCTCCAGCAGCCTGTAAGACAAACACTCTTCCTAGAGAAAACACTGACACAGTTACTCTGTAACCCATACTGCGTAAGAGGACGCATGTGCATGCACACACACAGCTGTGCAAAGGCCCCACGGAGAGGTACAACTATGCGGATGTCTTGAGCACAGAGCAAAATAAAGACAATAGAGCCTTTGACAGTTCAGCTGTTTCTGTATTTCATTACAGTCAAAATGCCTGTAGTTGTCCTTTGTTTTTCTCTTTGGTCTCAAACTTTCAAATTATTTATGTTTTATAAAAGTTATTTTTTTACTCCAATTTCCATGAAACTATGCATAGTGTAATTAGATTTCAGTTTCAAAACAAGTTTCAAAAAGTCAAGAGATTTACACGTACTTGAGAATTTTATTGATCCATTTGTTTGATGCGTCTATTTTTGGCTTTACTAGACAGGTTAGAAAGTTTGCTACAGGCAGATTTTAAGGAATATTCTGCACTCAGTAGTTAAGATCAATCAACAGAAATTATAGGATAATTGTCAATTGTTGATTACCACTAAACAATTCCACACTGAAATACTTTCAATAGTATAGCCACAAGACATAAACAATGTGTGTTAACGTCATTTCAGTTTTTTTTTTTTAATTACAACTTCTCTTCCATTACAACATATAAACCCTAAAAGGACTGTAAAAATTACAAGTAAAGCTCAAATACTACATGGTATCAACTAAAGAATTGCTTTTATAAAATTAAGCATCACCTTTTGTGCTTTTAAAATCTCAAAAATTGATCCCATTTACTTCTATTGTAAATTTCTAAATGTAAAAGTGGAACAAAAAAATTGACATTTTTTGTGTTAATTAATTAGTCATTTGTTAAACACTGTAATTGAGATTAAATCGTATTGAACCCAGAATATTCTTTTAACTGGCCAACACAAGGAATCAAACCGCACAAAACAGCCGCGGGTTGGTTTCCACCCTAAGAGGCCTCTCTGGGTAGGTGAGTGTGTTAATGTATGTCTCTCTGAATGTATGTGCATGAGCACTGTAAACATACAGTGCCGCTCTGAAAACGCTGCACCCTGTGACCCTGGAAACTGCAGTGCAACAAGTTCATTCATATACATGCGTACACACATACACTCAGCAGAGGCCTCTCTGGGAGGAAACACACATGCCTTCTCCATCTGACACCGCCAGCAAACACACACACACACGCACGTTTGGCTCCTTTCCTTTCTTTAGCGGCAGAAAAATGCAGGGAAAACACTGACCCCCTGCTAATTATTGT